TAATCGCAAGTCTTAAGATATACATTATTCTTGATTTGTGAAACTAAGAATCTGCCGCTAGAAATAGCACCTATTAGATTTCACATAATATTCGCAAAAATTTATACAATTAGAAACATATATTATCAAATTATGTGCTTATTTTGTCCTTTTAATGATAATCAAATGTTGAGGTTTTGAACATAAGACTGCTGTACTCATTATCAGTAAGACTTAGATAGGGAAGGGTTGGGGAATGGCATTCTGTGGTGAAATAAAGTACTTCGACTGTATTGACATTCAGTGTTACGTTTGGTGTGATGTTGAGGACACACCACTTCTCACATCTCAATGAACACATGTGTTTCGCAACATTCATACGATTACGCAAAACATTTTTCTTTAAACTTTTTTTTCTACTCCTGTCGTCAATATTCTGAACGCGTTTTCATTATTTTTGATGAAAATTCTTTCTCCACTTAAAGACAACTTTTTATGAATTTTCTAAAAAAATATGACAAGATTTTGGTAACAAAAAAGCAATTATCTCTCTCTTTATTCATACATTAATTTGCGCTGAAATACGATGAAATGAAATTGACTTATTATATATATTTAGAAACACTTATCAATTATTAATAATCAAATATCTGATTACGAGAGGGGACAGGGAGTGGAGACTTATAGTCAACTGCCAATTAATTAGCACTTATTAATGTCTATCTTAGTTCACAATAAACTGTTCGCTTAATTATCTATAATTTGCATTTTATTTATCACTTACTATTCATCAAAGACTTGATTGTATGCTATTTTCTAACGAAAAAAAATTTTGGGTTAAAATTTTGGCTCAAATTCAAACACATATTTGATATCTAAATATAAAGGATTTTTTATTTTTACTTAAATAGTTTATACAATTATATACGAATGAGAAACTCTGCATTACAATACGGATATATAAAATTATATAAAAATATATAAATACACTTTAACATGCATATGATCTTGTTTGTTTTTGGTTTATTGTACTGTGATTTGCAATTCATATATGACTTTAGATCCTGACTTCATGTATAGCCAATCGATGTAATGAATCAAGATTCTCCTATTTTCTGATATAGTAATAGCAATATTATCAATTATTACTGTATGCGAAAACAAATATTTATTTAATATACAATCGCACAGTATTTTGTAGACATATATCGAAATATTGCCTCAAAATTCAACTTTTTTCAACTTTTTTCAACTTTTTTCAACTTTTTTCAACCGCTTATTTGAATTTAAATTCAACACCAAAACGCGTTTTCTTGACATTGAGAAAACTTTCATTGAATAGTAGACTATAATAATAAAAGTTATTAATTATATTTTATAAACAAAATAGTGTTTTACAATAACTGTGTGTGAAGTAAGAGACATGAGATACAGAGCGGAGGTATGTGAAATTTAAATCGATTATAAAATGTATATTTAATTAGATATATTTTAGTATTATATGGGATACTAAATAAAAATTTTAATTTTTAATTAATATGGTGGTGGTTAATTTTAAGTTATTTCGAGCTAATATATAAATTTTGTTTCTCATAATATTGATTGGTGTTATTATGAGTTTTATGAAATATTATAGAAATATATTTATTTACATGAAATTACTTACAGATAAAGAAAGAATGAAAATAGATTTTATAAATAATTAATTTGAACTTTGTATTAAATAGAAAAATAAAATATATCTATACAATTATTGAATAAACATTTTGTTGGAAATAAAGTTCAATACAAATAATTTTGAATTAATAGCTAAATTTGTTAAAAGCCTTTGAAAATGTATTTCATAATAATATAACCTTATTATGATTCTTTTTAAAATGAAATTTATGCATGCTAAAAGTTTGTGATGCTGTACTAACATTAAGCTAACATAAAATACATGTAACTTATATAATTATATTTGCTAGTATTATATATATCATAAATAAGATTTCCATTTTTCCGGACATTTATTTCTCTAGAATTTCCTATGAATGACACCCACTTTGAGCACTAAAGCTATCATTCATAGGAATATTCCTAAACTCATTGTAAAAATAAATGTTTTTGTTTTCATGAATACATAGGTAGAGGAGATCATCAAACCTCTCACCCTCTCCAACGAGCAATTGGGAGAAATAGAGGCCCTATTACTCAAGTCATTCAATGATGGTCTACGGAAGGATACCAATCCCGTGGCGCCCGTCAAAATGTTCCCCACTTTTGTGCGGGACGTTCCCGACGGCAAAGAGAAATACGGTATTTCATCATTTGCATTTTATTGTCATTTCATTATTGATTAGTGAATGTTATCTTTACAAATGAGTAGCTGAAGGAAAATACATGGCTCTAGACTTAGGCGGCACTAACTTCCGTGTATTGCTTCTGGAGTTAAACGCCGATCAAATTCATTTGGATTCCGAAGTATATGCCGTTCCCGAGTCCATAATGCATGGGACGGGAGACCAGGTATGTGGTCTTATGAAATTATAATTAAGTTTTTTATTAATATTTATTTTTATTACATCATTGTATTATTTGCCATTAAGTGTAGAGGTTTAAAAACTTGTTTATATTATATAATTTTTTCATAAATTTTATTACATAATGTAATCAATTGCTAAAAATAAATCACGAATGCAATTACTGAATGCATAAATCATCTGATGATACATAATCTGAATGAATGAAATATTGCA